TTCGAACAAATTCGAACAAAACATTCGAAATAGAAAGCCACTTTCAACCACTTTTAGCCTCATATCTCCCGCACCCTTATAGCTATCGAGACGCAACCACCCCTATGCACGAATGGAGACTTGGGGCTACCACCATATACAAACACCATTCACGTGCGATGTGTAGTTTTGGCGAAAAAGTTAGATATAGGGACATACATGTTCATTTATATATATATATATATATATATATAGATATAGATTAAATGTTCTTCACATTTATCAAATAAGTGTTGACCACGACTAAATCATAGGCGGTGGCCATTTGCAAAACACACTCTCCTTCAAAATTTCTACCATCAAATCCTTTGCCTCCGTGTACTCTCTCATAACCAGCATTATTTTTTCCCACATGCCCGTTAAAGTCCGCTCCAATAAATATCTCCTCATCTGTCGGTACCTCTGTCATTATCTTAGCCAAATCTTCCCAAAATTGCTATTTAACTCCAGCATCTATACCCACTTGCAGCGCATATGCACTGATTACATTAACTATCCGTTCTCCAATACTCAGTTTCAACAATATTAATCTATCATTTACTCTATTGACTATGACTACATTCTTCTTTAAGTCGTTGTCTATGACTATCCCCACTCCATTCCTCTTTCCATCTTTACCACAGTAGAAAAGTTTATACCCTTCGCCAATCTCTTTAGTTTTGGCCCCTTTCCACTTTGTCTCCTGTAAACACGCTATATCGACTCTTCTTCTTCTCAGGGTATCTGCTAGTTCAGCTCCTCTCCCTGTCATAGTCCCTATATTCCAACTTCCCACTCTTAATGGGACTCGCTTCTTACGTTGTCCCCGTCCCATATGAGACAACATCCCTCGTCCATTTCCCACAGCCGCTGGGTGCTGCGACTGCGCGTCGCCTATGGGGTACGCCCTAGTATTATCACATCTCAAAGTGGCATCAGACATTCCATACAAAAAGATTTGGCTGGGGTTTTTACAGTCGACCGCCAACCAGACACCAACCTTTCCATTTTTCTAACCTGGGCTAAGGAACCAGGCTTAGCAGAGATTTGGCAGTGGCCTAGCACCTGAGCTCCTAGAGACTCACTACAGGCCTTAAGCGGCAGATGGTCGCCCGCTATTTACAGATACCGCCCCGCCTCCGGCGGCACCCAGCCCCGGAAGGCCCTCCTCCATTGTGAAACAGCAATCTATGCAGTGAAAAAAATAACTGAAACGAGCACTGCACATTTAACCTCGAGACCACTGCGCGCAGCGCTTCAAGAAAACGAGTATAGCTAACGGCACTTAGTTTAACAACCCGTATGTGAAACAATGTTTATCCTTCATCATATAATCATTCATCAAAAATTTAAATACCCGTCTCGCTCGAGCAGGTTCCAACACGTCACTATTTACAGTGTATCTCGTAAACTATTTGGTACACTTAGTTCACAGATATAGACTTCTTTTTTTATAATAAAGGTTTTTATTTTATTTCTTTCCTCCATGTGGAAGTTAAGAGGGTCTTTTAGCAATTCCATTATATGTTCGGCCAAGCCAACAATGGAGCAGTCGGGTGGTGACGTACAATTGGACGGACCATTTCCAAAATATTTCTGATGTTTTTCCGACCAGTTTTGATTTGATACCGAGTCTTCTAGAGCGGTAGGTCACCACGTTAACTGCTTGGCCATCCAGCCGTCTAGGCAGCGATTAAAGTGTCAGCCTGCCACTTTAGGAAACTCAAGACCGAATACGGCTATCAAAAAATTGCAGTAATTTTTTTATGGGCTATCTGTTTCGAATATGTTGGGGCTCGTTTCTCATTACCTGTTCGTCCATTGGGGTCGGGCCGAATTCACTATGGTTTATGAAAGAAAGGCCTTTCTTAGTGTCCACAGAGCAGGAAGGAATGAAGAAAAAATATATATATATTTTCTTCATTCCTTCATTCATTATATATATATATTGGTCAGTAATATTAATTAGATCTTTATGAAGAGCCAGGTTTTTTTGTACGTAAATTATACTAAACTAATACTACAGTGGTATCTCATAGCTCGAATGTAATTCCTTCCAGGAGGTCGCTCGAAGTCCGAATCAATTTTTCCTATTAGAAATAATGGAAAGTGAATTCATTCATATGAATTCACTTTCCATTATTTCATTTCCAGATTCTAAACAATACTCATTTCGATAAATTTAAAACAGCAAATACACATAATTTAAGGTAAAAATAACATAATTAAATGTCTTAATAATAAGTTAAAACATGAAAACAATAAAATACGCAAATACTTTATAAGTATTTATAAAGTATTTACGTATTTAAGAAAATGAAATGCATTAACTGATTGCAATTTCGATTTCGGCATCTTAATGATGATCACCAGATTTGCCGCACGCTTTTATGCTTCGAGACGGCCCATCAATGGCCAAGCGGTTCTGTTCTTTGAACACTGGGAGTTCGGTCGTGGGTTCACGCCTTGTCAGGACGGGCTGGCCACGTGGAGTTTTCCGGGTTTTGTCCACGTCTGAAACTTCTGAATAGGTGCTAATTATCCGTAAAAAGACCCGTTGGAAGACATCCTCTAAGGCAGATTGCCCAAGTGTTGCGTTGCCGTAATTTAACGAACGAACATATTTATCACGATACTCGAATGACACGAAGTGGCACAGTTTTATTGATCAAGTAGACATCAATTGAAAATACGATATCTTAAATTTGAACTGAAGCATTCAAAACATACGGGGCGCCCAAACTCTTGGGCGAATAATTGCAGGAAGAAATTGTTAAATATCGACCAGTAACACACAATATAATAATAATAATAATAATAATAATACATAAAACGTAAAAAGCACAAAATCCTGTGAGCGTAATGCAAGGGCAAGAGCGAGAGACGACTTGGTCGCACAATAGATTGCGCCCAAGGCGTTCATGCTTCGAGTGCATTTTTCACTGCGTACGAAGTTTGAACTTTGAATAGTTCGAACTCAGAGGATAATTTTTATCAAAAGTAGCGTTCGAACTTTGAAAAAATTCGAAGTTAGAGACGTTCAAAGTATTCGGTACCACTGTACCGATTAAAAGAGAAACAAAAAATATATTTGAAAATTAACAGAATTGAATTGAACAGAATATTCGGAAATTTAAATTTTTGAACAGTATGGTTCAAATTTAATATTTAAATTTAATTTTAAAGTTTTATTTTTTGTAAATTTTTAGGGACAAGTAAAAAATTAAAAAATAATTTCAGAGAATTAAATTGTATATGGCGATATTTTGGCTTAAAGTCGGAATTCGGCATCGCTAGTAGAGTGAGATGAGGAGAAGCAATCAAACGATTAACTAGTAGTAGTCGAAGAAGGAGTAATTTCGCTTTCTTTGGATAAGTTTTCCACCAAAAACTCAGCCATGCCTGGCTTAATGAGCGTGGCCGAGTTCGTGGAGGAGACAAGGGAAGATTATAACTCGCCGACGACGTCGACATTTGTTTCGAAAATGCCACAATGTCGACAGACAATCGGATCGTTGGAAGAGGTGAGGATTCTTCAAAGGGAGGTCTTGGCGCACGAGACCGAAATGGGAGTCGGGGTCATTGGCTGACTTTGATAAGTCGCGATCGAACAGGGGCGTAATCGTGCTTTAATATAATTAATCTAAACTAAAACTTAATAAACGAAAAATAAATGAAAAATTCAAATATACCCCATTAAACACATCTAGTAATAGAAAATCTTCCTGGTTGTATTTACATTTTGCCAAATTGTTATGAATTACAGAAAAGATGATACTGTAATCGTATTTCCTTTTTCCTGTTGGATTAGGAAAAATTAATGATACAGTCACATATATGAACAAATGTTTAATTTAAGGTTTCATTTCTTATGTTTTAAGGAATGCTTTTTATTTGGTGATATATATTCGTTATGGCTATTGAATCACATTACTTTCATCCTGTTTTAGTTTAAATTCAAAAATATTATTATTATTACATATGATCTCACCATTTAGTTATTTGATTCTGAACTAAAGGTGATTTTGTGCATATCATTTTTTTTTGAAGTGATTAAGTGCAACGTCTTAAATTTCTTGGTTTATCCTCTTATATGGAACTTCTACTTTCTCTTATTTTTATTTACATAATATTTATGGTAATGTAAAAATTTTTTTCCATAAAATGTTTTATGGAGACACTATTCATTAATTTGAATTTGAGGATATTTATGCTAATAAAATTTCTGAAACAAATAATGTGAGCAAACAACAGGATTGTGAATTTGAAGATCATTATTGTGAGTGGGATGAAAAATCAGAAAATGTTCTTGAGTGTTATCTGGGATTTTTGGTGAATTTGCTATGAATATAATAATTTTTAGTTAAATAACATCATCAGAATATTATTATAATTTTTTTGATATAATAGGCAAAATATTGAAAATATTTTAAATGGGAAAATGTGTAATTCTTAAAGATTTTATTATTGTTACATGAATATAACAAACTATGACCTACTTGAATCAATATGGGATGACATTGCCAGGTCCCATGGTTACCACAATATCATACGGAAAATATTGGAGTGCCATAAACAGACGGAGGCTTTTTCCACCATTACTGCAGCAGCACTAAGCGGTAACATGAGGATGGAAAATGTGAGGAATCCTCTTATGTTCAACCCCCTCTTGAGGTCTTTATACAGCATCATCGCAAAGAAACTAAAGGTTATCCTGGCATACAGGAGATGCCGTACTCTGTTCAACATATTATGTAACGGAAAAGACTAATTCAATATGGAGAGATTATCAGGCATATATATTGTCCCACTTAGGGATAACTGGTTTAACAGGGATTTGGTATACATAGGATTGACTAAACGTTCATTGGGGGTTAGGTTAAAAGTGACAGATTACGCAAATGAACCGAACATTTGAAACACACCAGCGTTTGGATTAGTTCAAATTTTCGTTTTTGAGTTCGATCCAGCTAAATTACCTGAAGAAGAACCAGAAGGGGTTAGAAAAATGTTTGTTTTGGAAGATTAAATTTTGTATGCATTGGTTATAGGTTCAAATAGGTCATAGTTTGTTATATACAGCCCGGTATGCAGTTGCTGTTTTATAATAATGAGTTACATGAATATTTAAAGAATTAGATTAGATTCAGATATGTGTAACACCTGTTACCAAAAGTTGGCAGTTTGAATATCTGTAACAACTAAATCACTATTTTGACATATATGTATTGCATATCTAGATAACTTCTTTCATTTACTTTCATGCATCTTTTGGATAGTTTGAATTTTTATAAATTTTTTTTAAATTCAAAATTTAATTCTAAAAGATATGTTTAAAGATTAATGTGTTTTTAAATGAATATAATTTTATTTTATGTAGAAATAGTTTCAATTTTTATGTTTTGTTTTAAATATTGCAAAAGTAATAATAAATGCTATTTTATTTAGCATCTAAAAATTACTTCATATTATGAATCAGAATGCAGTTTATTTCTGGATGTCTATTTAATTAGATTTTTATATTTCTGATTTTGAAAAATTTGTATAGTTAACATTGAAACCTGTTACAGATAAAATTAAATTATAATTACCTTTCAAGATAGCTTTAATTTATTAATAATGATACTTATTATATATATNGTGTATTTATTAAATGTGGACATAATAAGTAGGGCCTACAATACTTACACTAATAGGATGCTGCTATAATGTGCGTTACCTATTTGTATAACGTTTCCTAAATTCAGGAGAAACGATATCGCTGTTTATTGCAGCGTGTACATATCCCCGATTGCCATGTGTCCCCCCCTGTATAAAGTGTTTATTATTACGTTGTAATATATACAGTAGAAAAAACGGTTTGTTAATAACTGTCATTCGTTGTTCTCCAACTGATGATGATGATGATGATCCTTTGCTTGATGATCTTGCCCAAAAACCATATTTTTTCTTTTCTTTAGCAATAATTTAATTCAGCATTCTCTCACACATACATATATAACTTATTATATATATATATATATATATATATATATTATATAATGTTTCCATCATTATTCTCTTATTTAAAAAAAAGACATTAAATTATTATTTTTTATCATCCAACTTACATATAGGTATTATTTTATAAGAAATTTGCATCTTTACATTATTATAAAAGTTTTACTATTATATGCTTACATTATTAAATACAATTATAATGACAATCAAAATAATCTGTGATAGTAATCTTTAATATCTTTAATCTCAAAAGACACTGTGGCCACAAAAATACAAAATAAACAAACAACAGAGGAACAAATATGAATAGTAATAGTAATAGCATTTATTCAACTAATTGCATCACTTCCTTAAATAAAATGGCAACATTTAAACCTATCAGTGTTTTGAGTAGTAGAATCTCCTACCACTTGAGAACTATTTAATAAGTACAAGACTTTGGCAAACATTATAAATTACTATGAAGTATATATTGATACAATGCTAAGATTTTAAAATTAATAAGCACTTATTACATTGAGTTGTTTTAATAATAATAATTTTAGATTTTTAAAGGATATGTTTCAATAAGTAAATTTTCAAAATATTTATTTTAATTTTTGTTTCAAAATATAAGCTTCTTGAGCAATTATTTGTTTTATTATATTTATAAACTTAGTAAAATAAATCTCTTAAGTAAGTTTAAATATATAAATAAAACATTTTAAATAATTTTAATACAGATGATTTTATTGTTTGCATATATAGTGAAGCATTGAAAATCCAGGACCCGATCTGGATTTTCAATTTGTCCAGATTTTCAAATATACAGTAAAGCCCCACTTAACGCTGATTCAATATAATGCAGTCTGCTTGATGCCTGAAAAAAAAACGCTCAAAATTTACCCTGATTCAAATTAATGCTGTATTTCATTGATTCATATATAATATGATTATTTCCAAACATGAACCAATCAGCAAAAACTGGCAATTCATTATAGTGCTGTACTTTCCTTAAATCTATGTTTGTTTTGTGCAGTTTTGGAAAAAATATAACATCATGGATGCCATAGGAAATAGCGACTTGGCTTGGCAAGAATTAACTGATAAATGCATGAATGGAGTGTGGAAGAAGGTATCCAAGAATTCTCAACAAGAAGAGCCTATTGCTGTATCATTATGTTGATCAAACTCAACCTAATTGATACAGCAGGACTAGGAGATGTAGACAAACAGGATATTGAGGAGTTACCACAGGTTTCTGGTGAGAGTCTTATCAACGATGACTTCAAGAACTGGCAGAACAAGGAATTCATGTAGAACTGGAAAATAGAGATTCTGAAAACGAAGAACTCAAAGAACTTGCTACAGATTTCTTTAGTAAAAGTTTGGTAATGATAACCGAAATCATTGATCAAATTGTAGCAAATGATTTAGACTTTGAAAGGAGTGCAAAAGCAAAATGAGGCATAAAAATATAATTTCTAAAAATAAGATTATCTTTAGATAAAATAAACGAGTAAATATAAAACACTCTTTCTTAACCGATTTCGAGTGATTTATATCGGCAGACAAATAATTAACAAGGATACTATACTTTAGCCAACGTTATTTCTTTTATTATTTTCAAATTTCTCAAAAAATTTTCCAAAAGGTTCTCTAAATGCATTTCGCCATTACAGCCTCATCGATGGATTATCTAACACCAAGCAACTCATTACTTTTTATACAAATAAATTTTTCCCAGCATGCATCAACGTTTAGACCGACATTCTGATTTAACAAATTTGCATTTTCAACAATACAAAAGTGCTCTACTACTCATCTTTTAAACCAGTTTTTTATTTTATATAATATTTTTACAGAATTTCTATTAATTTTACAATTATAATTGATACAATGATGATACCAAGGTGACTCTTGTCTTTTTAGATGAATCGCTGCCTCGTGTTCTTTAAGCGTATCTCAAGCCTCCGTCCAGTTTCTCCAACATATGATTTCGCTTGCAAACAATCACATGATGCTTTGTAAATCACTCCTGTGACGTCAAGCTGATTTCTTACTTTATTTTGACCTTTAGTATTTATAATATTAATGATATTCGACATTTTGTTTTCCTGCTTCGCCACTACACATATAGAAAACTTTTTAAATATGGGTTTATATCGTTCATAAAGATTATGTATATAAGGCATTTTAACATAAGTATTATTATTTATACAATTTTTTACATTATATCTGTAATTTATAAAAGAATTATACCACTTACAAATTTTACTCTTTGGATAGTCGTTCAATAAATATTTTCTAAATAATTGTTTAACTTCTTTGTTTATATCTTACTGAAGTGATGTCCTGATTAGTATTTTCCTCAATTCCATAGTAAAAACATTTCTTTTAGTGTCTATAGGGCAATAAGATTTATAACTAATTGTTTTTTCTGTATTACATAATTTTTCATACTTACGGAACCTTAGTTGTGTTTTCTCACGTTTAATAGTCACATCCAAATAGTTTATTTCCTGATTCTGTTCCAATTCACTAG